AAAATCTATGCTCCTAAAGAAGCTAAATAACAAGGAGGACCCTAGGGAAGATGCTCAATCCTCATTTAGATGGGCAAACAAGATAGACATCAGAAGTGGGAAGAAATAGGGAACAGGACAGGAGCCTTCCACAGAGGGCCTCTGAAGGACTCTACCCAGCAGGGTACTAAAGCAGATGCTGAGACTCATAGCCAAACTTTGGGCAGAGTGTAGGAAACCTTATGGAAGAAGGGGGAGATAGAAAGACCTGGAAGGGACAGGAGCTCCACAAGGAGAGCAACAGAACCAAAAAGTCTGGGCCCACGGGGCCCTGCAAAGGCTGCTGCACCAACCAGGGACCAGGCATGGAGATAACCTAGAGCCCCTGCACAGATGTAGCCCATGGCAGCTCAGTCTCCATGTGGGTCCCTAGTAAGGGGAGCAGGGGCTGTCTCTGACATGAACTCAGTGGCTAGTTCTATGATCACCTCCCCCTGAGGGGGTAGCAGCCTTACCAGGCCACAGAGGAGGACAGTGTAGCCAGTCCTGATGAGACCTGATAAGCTAGGGTCAGATAGAAGGGGAGGAGGACCTCCCCTATCAGTGGACTAGGGGAGGGGTGTAGAGGAGAAGAGGGAGAGAAGGACTGGTAGAAGATGAGGGAGGGGGCTACAGCCAGGATACAAAGTGAATAAACTGTAATCAATAATTAATTTTTAAAAAGGCACAACTAAGAATGAAAAGGCAGGGCTGGCGCAATCGCTTGCTTGGAGCTGCGCTGTCAGAGGCAAGAGTGTGGGTCTCGGCCCCACAGCCTGTAACCCACGTCTCAGGGTCTAACTTCCTGTCTAGCCTCTTCAGGAACCAGGCACCCAGTGCCTAGACACGTATGCAGAGCACCGTGTTGGCACATGCTGGGGCCTCAGGGGAGGAGGGAGCCTCAGCTGAGAAAATGCCTCCATCAAGCTGGGCTGGGGGCACCCAGGAATGATAACAGGAAATACGCGGCCCTCTGAGAGCTCCACCAGTGCCTGACTCGACTTCCCCGGGTGACAGAACAGCTGTTAGGGCAAACCTTTTCTTCCCCAAGTTGCTCTTGATCGTGGTGTTTTACCACAGCAATAGAAATCTAACTAAGGGCTGGAGAGATGGCTCAGCAGTTAAGAGCACCGACTGTTCTTCCAGAGGTCCTGAGTTCAATTCCCAGCAACCACAAGGTTGTAATGAAATCTGATTCCCTCTTCTGGTGTGTGTGAAAACAGTGCATTCATATACATAAAATAAATATATCTTAAAAAAAAAAAGAAATCTAACTAAGATGCACATAAAATGAAAATTTAAAATAATACATAAATCGTAAAAATCAAGGCAAGGTGACTCACGGAGGGCGGGAAGACATGAGTCAAAGGACATGGCTCCAGAAAACGCAATTCCAAAATTAGTGAAAAGGTCATACCGCCCCCACCCCGTTTTGGGACGGTGCTGGGATGGAGCCCAGAGCACACGCACACGCGTGGCAGATGCTTTACCAACACATCCCCAGAACTTGGTTTTCTGAGATAGACTCTATGCTGCACAGGCTGGTCCAGAACCCCACCTCATCCTGCCTTGGCCGCTCAATTCTGGGACACAGCAATACACCCACTTGTTAATCTCCAATTTCTCCAGAGCACCCCCCAAAGGGGATTTCTCAAATGGCCAATCAGCACCCAAGGCAGGGTGCTTTCATGCAGGCTCCAAGAAGGAAGAGCAGTAGGCTCGCAGTCACGGGCGCTGCAGCCACTCTGGGAAAGGCTCTTGCCGTGTCTGCTAAAGCTCAGACACAGGGACACCAGCAACTCCGCTCCTCCGAGCAGACCACAGAAGCTCAAAACAAAGTCACAAACGCCACTGCTACAATGTTCTTAGTGAAACAGAGTCACAACAACAAAGTCCAGCACCCATCTGTTTGACAGAAACTAGACTGCGCCAGCCTGACCTCTGCAGCTACACGGCACTGAGGAACAGTGTCAGGCAAGCACAGGTGTGATACATTACAATACAACTCCACTTAGCCCAAAGCTAGGCAGGTTAGAGACTGGGACAATGTTTCAGCAGAAGGAGCTGGCTTTGCTGAGAGTGTTTAGTTTGTGAAAATTCAAAGATACAAACTTTATAATTTGTGCAAGTCACAAGTGTATGTATGAGTATATTACACTTTGGTAAAAAAAAAAAAAAAAAAAAAAAATGGAGCTATGTCTCAATGGCAGAACAACTGCCTAGAATCCCCCAGTGAGGGACTGGGGTGTGGCTCAGTGGTGGAGCCCCTGCCTAGAATTCCCCAGTGAGGGACCCTTGGGTTTTATCCCCAGCAGGAAATAGGTTAGGGACAGATAATCTCTTGGGAATAAAAAGAAAAAATTAAGTACACTAGGAAAGGTTCTGGACCATTCCTCACAAGCTGTTTGCTTTTTATTAAGCCAGGACCTAAATCCATGTGCATGAATTCTAGAAACACAGTTTATGGGATTTCCACCTATCCCAAGCCCTGGTCTCTATTAGGGGGGCTTTATTTCTTGTTCTTTTTTTTTTTTTTTTTTTTTTTTTTTTTTTTTTTTTTTTTTTTTTTTGTTTTTTTTTTTTTTTTTTTTTTTTTTTTTTTTTTTTTTTTTTTTTTTTGTAGTCTCTGTAGTCCTGGCTGGCCTGGAATTCACTCTGCAGACCAGGCTGACCTTGAACACTCAAGAGACCCACCCACCTCAGCCTCCCAAGTGTGCACCCAGCTTATCCCCTCCCTCATGAATTTTACCATTTTATGTGAATGGGTGTCCCGCCTGCATGTGTGTCTCTGCACTGCCTACAGCAGCACCTGTGGAGGCCAGGAAAGGGCTTCAAACTCCTGGAGCTGGAGTTACAGACAAGCGGTCACTACCTTGTGGGCGCTGGGGACTGAACCTGGAGCCCCTGGGGAGCGGCCAGTGCTTTTGATCACCGGCCATCTCTCTGGCCCTTTATCTCCTCTAGTTAAAAGAACCAGGAGCAGGGAAGGGAAGGGAGTGTGGGTCAAGTGACAGGGGATGTAGATGGCAGCGCTATGCCCACGGCACAACCCCAAGGACAGGAAGAAGCAGAAGTGAGGTGACGCCACCTTAGTGACCAGCACAGAAACGCTGTCATCTCCGAGGCCCTAACACGCTCCTGAACTCTTCCCTTCCCTCAACTCATCTGAACGTGGCTTCCACAAAGGTGCTGAACTCGGGGCTTCGAGAGCTGAAGGCTCAGCAGTGCTCAGCCCCAGGACGGCTGGCAGTCGTGTTCAATGCCAGCCGGGCATGGCTGGTGCATGGTTCTTGTCCCAGCAGTTGGGAGGCAGAGGCAGTCGGATCTCTGTGAATTTGAGGCTAGCCTGGTCTACAGAGCTCCAGGGCAACCAGGGCTACACACTGAGACTCTGTGTCAATAAAACAGAAAATGTTGATGAGCCAATGGGGGAGTGTCCGGCTACACACACACACACACACACACACACATACACACACACACACACACACACACACACACACACACACACACACACA